AGAGAGAGTTACTGAGTAGTTATCCAGTATCCATGTCCAGTATTTATAATAAAAATAATCTTCTGCAATTAATAAATTCTCACATGTGAGCAACCTGGGCCTCGGCAACAACCAGCTCCGCAGACTCCGGATGCCGAACCAATTGTTCAAGGAAAAGGCCTCGTGAACCTCGCAAACAGACGATGCATGATCGCAACAGTGCAAATGAGAGGTGTACACGGTGCGTCTAGTGAGTAGTGTTGACTCGACTCGTCCCAAGTATGCATCCAGAGCGCCACTGTGTAGTAGTGTACCACCAACCAGGCAGGACAGGGCCGAACCGCAAAGTGCGCACAGCAGAGCAAGCCAGCTCAAACAGGGCCCGAGGCCCGCACGCTCAAACGTGCCCAGCACGGACCAAAGACTTTAAGGTGGCAGACTACCAAAAAATCGCTGAAAAATCGAATTTGTAAATTCATATTGAGTGCTACGTCAGTTGAAAGAGCATGAATAGCTGCATATTCTCTGAAAATTGTGTCCCGATCTGACCGGCCGTTCAAGAGTTATGGCCGAAAATGTGCCCTTGCTAGGAAAGATTTTTTTGTTGCACCCTGTCATTTGTTGGCAGCACTGTATTTGAATGTGAGCAGACCGTGCGCAACTTTTCGTATCCAAAAAAATCAGGTTTTTGAGCCACGTATTGGGCCGCCGTGCAGCAGGACTTTTGCCAGCACCCTCGTGACGTTGCAGAAATGTGGCTTGATTATTGTAGTTGACGTTGATTTAGTGACTTTGGCAAGTTTGAGTTGTGTCGAGAAGTCAGGTAGGATTCAGGACTAGGCAGTAGTGAAACGTGAGTGGTAGTCTTTGCCGGTTTCTGAGGGTATCCTGGATTTGGTGTGCAGCGCTGTGAAATGGCTTGCTGTGGAGGTCCCAGCACTGGATGTTGTATCAAAGGTACGACCTCGTAGCACGTGCTAAACCTAAAAAAAATTCAAAAATTGACTTGGATCTGTGGGAGTGTGTGAGAGAACGCCCACTCGTTCCGTTGTGACAGATTCCAGGGCCTCGTTGAGGGGCCCTACCCCATCACCCATGGCTGCTTCTGGACTTGTTCTCGGTTTGAGTCCCGCGCACGAACAGAATGAGCACGAAAATGTGAAAAAATTGTAAATGCATTTGTTTGGCTCCTGGGTGGCTCGCACACCGTGGCACTATGCCGGAAATTTGAGTTTTTCCGGCCTGGAAAGCCTGTCAGTGAGGCGCAAGAACTTGTAAATCATGTCCTGAGGGCAAGCATAGTGGCAGGAGTGTGTGGTCAAAATTTCACTCAAGTCCATTGAGAAACACCAAAGTTACGGTCAATTGAATGCCATATGAAATTTTTGGGTGATGTGCCTCCTTAAGGGGGTTGGGGACAGTTAGGCCCAAAAATTTAATTTCAACATCAGCCCAATCTGACATCAGGTTTGAATAGGTACAGCCTTATATTTTCGCTTAGTAACATCGGTTTTTCAATTGCCCGAATAGGTCTTGCCAAAAACACAATTTTCCTTGATGACACAAAATAACACAAAATCCCAAAATTGATGAGAAATCGTCCATAACATCAGTTAGTACAGAAAATATGACATAAAATTTTACAGACTGTTTGAGGTATTGACTAAGATGATATCAACACCGAAAAATGTACACTTTGGTTGACGATGGGATCCAGGTCGTCATTTCCTGGAGAAGATCAAAAAGACGCAAAAAATGAAACTTTGAATATTTTTTGCAGCTTATTTTTGAGTTTGCCCCATATGTGGATACTTCAAATACGTTCTATAAGTGGGTTGGAACAGGTTTACCGTGGCGAAAATAGGGGTCACCGTGCATATTCTGGAGAAAAATCCAAAAAACTGTCAAAATTTGCCTAAAATTGGTAAATTCACGTATCTATATTGCTTGTACTTCTCTGCTGCTGCTTTGGTCATAACGTATTGGATTTTTGGCTGTTAGGTGTTGCATAAACTCACTAGAGCCCTCGGCGTTCAGAACACTACAAGGATGGAATAGCTGAACTAGTAAATTTGCCGGAAAACCCTGGATGCACGCATTATACTTTTCTCCATGATTACTCTCCGGTTGGTACTTGGTTGTGATACATGTACATGTAGCTGTGATAGCGCTTAGCACAGCTCCATATCAAACTACAATGAAAGCTGACATGTTGGAACGAATCAGACAACAATTACATTGAGTCCTCTTGTTCTTCAACTATGCGAGCTAGAAAGTGTCCCCACACTGGCAAAAATGATGGTATTTTACGGTGCGCACAAACAAGTGAAGCACTGTGCCACAGGGCGTTCCTTACAGTTGGGTTGCTGCTGGTTCTTCGCTAGGTGTTCAGCCACCGCTAATATAATCTTCCTTGAGACTGTCACCCGCTTCTTACCTCCGACTTGCTCCTTCATCAGTCTGGAAATGGCTGGCTCACCACTTCGTTTGTAGGACAAGACAAAGTGCTTCATCACCAACCCACTGGCAGCTGCCCGCACTGAAACTGATTTAGAGAAGCACGTTGCTTGGACCAACGGTTGAAGGGTGGCCAGCCGCTTTGCGCTGATGTTCTGCAAACTCCATCGCCGAACATGCTGATGCAAAAGTGACAGAGCGCTACAGGATACTGGCATCAGGGCGAGCTTCGACAATTTCAGCTAGGGCCGCAACATCCGCAACAGCATCATGAGCAGCGAACTCATTCCCAACGATGAACTATAAATCAATGTGAATTGTGAGGCTGTAGCTTGGGAGCTCCGGTATCGCGGTTTAGGGATCAGAGTGTTCACCCAGCACAAAAATGCATACCATCGACACACACATCCATGCACACATACACACACACACACACACACACACACACGCACACACACACACGCGCGCATGCTCTCACACGCAATAGAACACACGCACGCGTACACACACATACATTCACGCACGTGTGCGTACCCACCCACATGCATGTGCACGCTCATGTGCATGAGTGGAGAAGCCCGGCGCATACACATGTCACACCAACATGCCCTGGGAGCGGTTATGCACGTGTGTTTAGTACATGTATGTGTGCGAGGGCACGTCTACATGAGCACATTATGCATGTGCATGTTCATACATGCGTATGGTGCACACATGCACAAACATGCAGGTCTATGCAAACACACACACGCTCGCGGCCGCCGCGCATACAGTGTGCTCATACATTTCCATAGCCATAGGGTGGCAATGACTCGCAAATATCATGAATAAATCTTATGAGATTGAAAAACGCACTTACCCAAAGCAGCTTTGGTGTTGCTTGTGGAAGCACGGGGGCCAGGGTGTTGAGCAGTTACAGGGCTATCTGTATCTATAAAATTCTCCATCCCACACTGCTGACACGGAATGACAAGTACGCTGCCCAGGTCGTACCTCAGGCTCTTCTCTTCAACGCAATCAATGAGCGCCAGAGGTTTGCCACATCCAGGATTCTGGCACGCAGACAATCCCACAGCCAGATACCTGAGATGAACGATTCGTCGACCGTGAAGAGGGGCACTGAACGACCTCTTCGCGGGAGTCGAATCCAGTGGTGTTAGTGGTGGAGATCGCCCTTTCCGTTTTTCAGGAACTCGATCGATCGTTTGAGTTTGCGAAGCGTCCCCCTCCCCGGCTTCTTGCATCGTCCAGTACGCAGAATGAGAGGCCGCGTCGTGGGTGACGGATTACTCTCCCGCGTCTTCATCTCCACGACACGTCGGCAGGAGAACGGAGCTATCCAAAAACCGCCAATGTCAAAACAAATCTGCAAGTCCACTAGTGGCTGAGCTTCTTCCTCAAATCTTGTCTCGACTCGAGCACCCGCTGCGAAGTCATGGTCAAACTAAGCACCCTCGTGACGTTGCAGATATGTGGCTTGATTATTGTAGTTGACGTTGATTTAGTGACTTTGGCAAGTTTGAGTCGTGTCAAGAAGTTAGGTAGGATTCAATACTAGGCAGTAGTGAAACGTGAGTGGCAGTCTTTGCCGGTTTCTGAGGGCATCCTGGATTTGGTGTGCAGCGCTGTGGAAATGGCTTGCTGTGGAGGTCCCAGCACTGGATGTTGTATCAAAGGTACGACCTATTAGCACGTGCTAAACCTAAAAAATTCAAAAATTGACTTGGGTCTGTGGGAGTCCGTGAAAGAACGCCCACTCGTTCCGTTGTGACAGATTCCAGGGCCACGTTGAGGGGCCCTACCCCACCACCCATGGCTGCTTCTGGACTTGTTTTAGGTTTGGGTCCCGCGCACGGACAGAATGGGCACGAAAATGTGAAAAAAATGTAAATGCATTTGTTTGGCTCCTGGGTGGCTCGCACACCGTAGCACTATGCCGGAAATTTGAGTTTTTCCGGCCTGGAAAGCCTGTCAGTGAGGCGCAAGAACTTGTAAATCATGTCCTGAGGGCCAGCATAGTGGCAGGAGTGTGTGGTCAAAATTTCACTCAAATCCATTGAGAAACACCAAAGTTACGGTCAATTGAATGCCATATGAAATTTTTGGGTGATGTGCCCCCTTAATGGCCGATTTGCAGCGCACGAAACCAACGGGATGAAGGACTGGCGGGCTGAACCAGTCCAGAAGGAAGCAAACTATTCGAGCCGATCCACATGCCACAAGAAAAGTAATGAAAAAAGGTTTCAAACCGATTGAATTGAACAGTGAATTAGACAATTAGAGAATAACGGAGGAGCAAAAAGCTCAACCACCCAGTTCCAGTCATAATAATGTAGATCTACTGGAGTAGCTCATGTCACCTGATCGTGCAGTTGCTATGGTGATCAGGGTCCAAGTTCTCTCACGTACTAAACATCTAAGGATACCAATGACCCTTGAAATCAGTTGGTCTGGGTGTCGACCTTCGCCAGCGCCAAGCCACTATACAGTTTAGCGGCTGCCGCAAAGGCGTGAGCTGCATGAAGTTAAAAGCACATTCTCACAGCCAAGCTTCATAACCGGGTGGAGAAGATGCATCATTTGCGAAGTCCATGCCACACTGAATCAGTGACCTTCGCTGCTGTTGTTGTTGCGGCTGTTCATTTTCGTGTTGTCCTTATCGAAGTAAGCTTGTGTGCAGAGTGTGTAAGCGTGAACACTGCGTTCTGAGACAACCTGCTGCGTAGTGATCAGAATTTGGAAGATTTCTAGTTTGGACATTGACTGGAAGAAGCAAGAACGATGGAGTATGAGGTTGACGATTACGAAACGTACTTTATATCCTATTCCGAAGCATCTGCTTTCGTTGGTTGCTTCTTCGCCCGCATGTTTAGCCACCCGTGGCAAGATGGTAGCAATGAGGAGAATTTCTGGGTATACTGGCAACCAGCCAAAGTATGCTGGAGTGCCCCCTTGTACACCCCAACATGCTCACTTTCCATCAATAGCTTTGCTTGTATGGTTGAAAAAGTGGATCAGTCGGGTTTGTATGTCGGCAGAGTAGTGGCAAACGAAGCCCCGGACATTTCACGATGGGAGGTGATGAGCATAGACCATGTTATTGGCAACTCGAATGAGCCAACCGAAATCCGTCCAAAAATACGCTTGTATTCAGGAAGTCGCAGTTCCACGTTTACATTCAATATCCAACTTCAGATGATACTGAAAGGTCTTCACACCCTACACATTCACGTTCGTGGTGTGGAGATATTGGAGGACATGTGATTGCCGGCTGGCCGACGAATGCAAGGTAAGAGAATGGAAACCCCTCAGATCAAATGGGAAGAGTACAGCGCAACGCAGTTGATATTGTCAGTTGGATGGCTGTTGCCTCAAGGCATCTCCCAGTTTTCATTCTTACCCACCCAGTGTTCTAAAGTTTTAGTGCGGTTCTAAGTAATCCGTCAAAGCAATGAATATTGAAACAATGGTCTGATAATTATTGTTCTAAGTTCTCCAACAATGCCTGCGGCGCTACGAATGTGAATTTTATTGGTGTACATGTATGTGTTGCATTGTTTGTTGGGCTATTTAATTCGTCTCTCGTTGAATTTAATTTTTCTCCACTTGAATATTTTCTGATTCTGTGTGTAGCTGTACCCCAGGGTGGTGAATCGATTCGATAGAGCGTGCTGGTTGCGGACCAGACGCACGTAGCATTGGTCAAACCGGCCGTCGTGGACTACGTATGCACACAACATCCAGCCGAGCAAGGTACACCAAGCCAATACGCATTACCTGTCACGTGCCGCGCATTTTACCGGTATGTTTGCAAGCCCACGTCCCACGTTCGCGTCCAGCTACCTTCGTTTCCGCTTCATCTTTGTTGCACTTGCCTCCCATGTACATGGTTGTGCTTGCCTCACCTAAGTGTCTCCCCGACTAACCTTGATTATAGGAACTTAGAAGAGAACCTCGTTGGAACAACAAACTTCTCCTTATCTCTAGTGTAGAAAGGCAGTATTTGCTCACTGTTTTAATGATGTGTTATGTTTCCGCTGAGACGATGTGAATACCATATTAGTCATACTGGTCGAATATTTGAAAAAATATACAAAAAATGTGTAGTGTTTCACTTTCCTCGTGCCTGTACATTTTACAATACCCCGCAGGTCTGGTTGCAGGTATTTCTCGCACATCTCTAGTGTAGAAAGGCAGTATTTGCTCACTTTTCCTAAAGTTCTGTTTACTTCCCGACACTCCTGTCAAATGCCACACTTGCCAGATAACTAATGGAACAATGTATCGTCTTACATACTTCTCTATTACACTCTCTATCCTATAAAACTACAGCTCGTCTTTTGTCCCTTCTGTGCATATTCCACCTGTTTAGTTACCAAACTTAACCTGTCAATGACTGCCGTGTGCTGTCGCCACAGTGAGATCTGCCTGCTCGCACTAAACCAATTTTGGTATCTAGAAGCTCGTATCAAAAAGGATAATAGAGAAGTGTAAAAGGTGCACGTTATTTCTGACGTGACGCGAAACCTCAGCTGGCGTTATTTGGCTCGCGGGTCGAAAAACAACGCAATTGACCAGCAGCTGACGTTGAAATTTGGAGTTTAATGACAAATTGATTAACCTCTCGAGTAACAAGACAGATCGAGGCACATACAAAGAACACACATAACGATTGCCTACGAATGCGGAGTGATCATTTTTAGCAAATGTGATGATGGTTATGGCCTCTTGACTGTCAGAATATTGCTATCCTGAGTCGTTCCTAGGATCTGTAACCCAGCCAAGTGCATCACTATTAGGATTTAGAAGAGAACAAAAGAGCTACAGAAGTCTAAGCAAGGACGTACAAGTAGGAGTATTATTCCCGTAGCTATGCAGAAGACGTTACTTCAGTAACGTCTGGCGCTAGCCAGGGTCCACACAGCTTTAATTCCCGTAGCTATGCAGAAGACGTTACTTCAGTAACGTCTGGCGCTAGCCAGGGTCCACACAGCTTTAATTCCCGTAGCTATGCAGAAGACGTTACTTCAGTAACGTCTGGCGCTAGCCAGGGTCCACACAGCTTTAATTGGGTGTTTGTTTGTGTGTTTGTTTGTGTCACGCCTGGCGCTATCCGTATCTGACGGCAAAAAAGCATAGGATGTTATAAATTTTTCAATTCTCCTTTTTTCTTCAGGCATATCCTGGGATTCGAACCCGCACTATCGCCCTACATGCATTCCCCCATACACTTCGCATTCATACCCATTCTTCCAAGTTGCTTTACGTTATTATCTTGCGTTTGAAAGCCCTATTTGAATATTGCGGGCAGCTGTATGTGGCCAGCTGTGTTTGATGGTACGGTACGGGAGACGGTGTCGTATTACCCTCGATCGTACCTGTCCCATACCTATCCCCTACCGTACCGTGCCATCAAAGACGGCTGGCCACAATGCATATTCAAATAGGGCTTTCAAATGCAAGATCACAATGTGAAACAACTTGGAAGAATTAGTATGTATGCGAAGTGTATCGGGGGATGCATGCAGGGCGCGCGATAGTGCGGGTTCGAATCCCAGGTTATGTCTTACAAAAAAAGGAATTTTTTAAAGAATTTATAACATCCCTATGCTTTTTTTTTGTCTAGGTCATCAAGGCAAAAAAGCATAGCGTAGGGCCCTGAGCTTCCAAGCTCTCTCGTTTGGTGTTTGTTTGTGTGTTTGTTTGTTTGTGTCACGCCTGGCGCTATCCGTATCTGACGGCAAAAAAAGCATAGGATGTTATAAATTTTTCAATTCTCCTATTTTTTTAGGCATATCCTGGGATTCGAACCCGCACTATCGCCCTACATGCATTCCCCCATACACTTCGCATTCATACCCATTCTTCCAAGTTGCTTCACGTTATTATCTTGCGTTTCAAAGCCCTATTTGAATATTGCGGGCAGCTGTATGTGGCCAGCTGTGTTTGATGGTACGGTACGGTACGGGAGACGGTGTAGTATTACCCTCGATCGTACCTGTCCCGTACCTATCCCCTACCGTACCGTGCCATCAAAGACGGCTAGCGGCTGGCCACAATGCATATTCAAATAGGGCTTTCAAATGTAAGATCACAATGTGAAAAACTTGGAAGAATTAGTATGTATGCGAAGTGTATCGGGGGATACATGCAGGGCGCGCCATAGTGCGGGTTCGAATCCCAGGTTATGTCTTTTTTTTTAAAGGATTTTTTTAAAGAATTTATAACATCCCTATGCTTTTTTTTGTCTAGGTCATCAAGGCAAAAAAGCATAGCGTAGGGCCCTGAGCTTCCAAGCTCTCTCGTTTGGTGTTTGTTTGTTTGTTTGTTTGTTTGTTTGTGTCACGGCTGGAGCTATCCCGTATCTGTCCCGTATCTGTCCCGTATCTGTGACTACAAAGGCTCTACAGGATTGTACATTACAGCTGTCCACAATATTTGCGGGCTTCCTGTATCTGTCCCGTACCGTACCAATATTCGTCGTATTATGTATACGACTCCCTGATGTAGAGGGAGATTTGGAAAGAAATAGGGAGACGAGGAGGAAATTAAATTAGAATAGACGCCGAATAGGTGATAGGATGCGTCAGCATAAACATACCGGTACTTTGGAAGAGAGATCCCGTCGTCTCCAAAATAAGCGTGAACGAGCGATTCAGCGCCGGTCACAGGAAACGTCGGAAGAGAGATCCCGTCGACTCCAGAACGCCCGTGATTGGCAGAGTCCGCCGGTCCCAGGCAACATCAGGACAGACATCTCGTTGAGTCCAGAACGCCCGTGATCGGCAGAGTCTAAGCCGGTCCCAGGAAACGTCAGGACAGACATCCTGTCGAGTCCAGAACGCCCGTGATCGGCAGAGTCAGCGCCGGTCCCAGTAAACGTCAGGACAGACATCCCGTCGACGCGCAGAAAAACTAAATCTGCAGCCTCCTTTGGCGTCGGACAGGATACGTATTTAAGGAGACTGTAAAGTTATGTAATGTCCAACTTTCGACGTGAGCAGCAGGTCACTCGCGTTGATTTTTCGACGTGCGAGCCAAATAACGCGAGCTGAACTTTCGCGATCGCAATCATCCCGTCGACGCGCAGAAAAACGAAATCTGCAGCCTCTTTTGCCGTCGGACAGGATACGTATTAGACTGTAAAGTTATGTAATGTGCTCCACAGGCAACCATGCATTCGGCGTCGTCATTGGCTCAACAGGTCAATGTACATGTGTTACTACAAAAAGGCCAGAAAATCCGATTACTGTATTAAAATCAACTAATTTTCGCTGGCTTTAATTTCGCTGATTTCGCCGCTTGGTACCAACCGGCCAAAGTAAATCGCAGGCCAAAGTTTGTCATAATTATGGGCAAATGATGCATGATTGAGCAATGGATGCATGTGAGAGCAAAAATTCCGATCGATTTCAAATTTGACGTGAAATGTGGAAACGTTTTTGCAATACAGTGATGTGGCCAATCAACGGAAAAAGACATTTCCATCAGTTCTTAAAACATGTACGATGAGCTAGGCAAAAAAGCATAAAAGCATAGCGTAGGGCCCTGAGCTTCCAAGCTCTCTCGTTTGGTGTTTGTTTGTTTGTTTGTTTGTGTCACGGCTGGAGCTATCCCGTATCTGTCCCGTATCTGTCCCGTATCTGTGACTACAAAGGCTCTACAGGATTGTACATAACAGCTGTCCACAATATTTGCGGGCTCCTGTATCTGTCCCATACCGTACCAATATTCGTCGTATTATGTATGTATACGACTCCCTGATGTAGAGGGAGATTTGGAAAGAAATAGGGAGACGAGGAGGAAATTAAATTAGAATAGACGCCGAATAGGTGATAGGATGCGTCAGCATAAACATACATGTACTTTGGAAGAGAGATCCCGTCGTCTCCAAAATAAGCGTGAACGAGCGATTCAGCGCCGGTCACAGGAAACGTCGGAAGAGAGATCCCGTCGACTCCAGAACCCCCGTGATCGGCAGAGTCCGCCGGTCCCAGGCAACGTTAGGACAGACATCATGAGTCCAGAACGCCCGTGATCGGCAGAGTCTAAGCCGGTCCCAGGAAACGTCAGGACAGACATCCCGTCGAGTCCAGAACGCCCGTAATCGGCAGAGTCAGCGCCGGTCCCAGTGAACGCCAGGACAGACATCCCGTCGACGCGCAGAAAACCTAATTCTGCAGCCTCTTTTGCCGTCGGACAGGATACGAATTATAGGAGACTGTAAAGTTATGTAATGTCCAAATTTCCACGTGAGCAGCAGGTCACTCGCGTTGATTTTTCGAAGTGCGAGCCAAACAACGCGAGCTGAACATTCGCGTCGCAGACATCCGGTCGACGCGCAGAAAAACGAAATCTGCAGACTCTTTTGCCGTCGGACAGGATACGTATTTTAGGAGACTGCTGAGTTATGTAATGTGCTCCACAGGCAACCATGCATTCGGCGTCGTCATTGGCTCAACAGGTCAATGTACATGTATTACTACAAAAGGCCAGAAAATCCGATTACTGTATTAAAATCAACTAATTTTCGCTGGCGATTTAATTTCGCTGATTTCGCCGCTTGGTACCAACCGGCCAAAGTAAATCGCAGGCCAAAGTTTTTCATATAGGCAAATGATGCATGATTGAGCAATGGATGCATGTGAAAGCAAAAATACCGATCGATTTCAAATTTGACGTGAAATTGCGCGTCACGTCGGAAATAACGTGCATCTTAACCTCTCTAATAGAGAGGTTTCTATTTCTCATCGGCCAAAATTTGTTGATTTACAGTATAAGGAGATAAAAAGAAAAGAAGGAGCAAACCAAAAGTAGATAAATTATTAGAGAAATATCAATCCGCAATAAATTCTGCAAATACTTTTGCCTCAGTTCTTATAACATGTACGATGAGCAAGGCAAAAAAGCATAAAAGCATAGCGTAGGGCCCTGAGCTTCCAAGCTCTCTCGTTTGGTGTTTGTGTGTTTGTGTGTTTGTGTCACGCCCGGCACTATCCCGTATCTGTCCCGTACCGTACCATACCATCAAACACAGCTGGCCACATACAGCTGGGCGCAATATTCAAATAGGGCTTTCAAACGCAAGATCATAACGTGAAGCAACTTGGTAGAATTAGTATGAATGCGAAGTGTATGGGGGAATGCATGTATGGCGATAGTGCGGGTTCTAATCCCAGGTTAGGCCACACCAAGTTATTTCTATGTTTCGCGTCACCCGCCCGCGTACCTTTTCGAATCCTTGACAAGAAAAAAAGAACCTAGACGAGCCAATCGATGGCTGCTCTGGCGAACATTCTCTAGCCAGTGTGGCAGATCAGAGGTTATCAGCTTCTCGATAATCTTGCATTCCAGGCGATGGTACGTAGAAGGTGCGAGAGATGAAAATTTCTATTTTTCCAAGCCGTGCGGTAGGCCTA